CGGCTCGAGGCACCCCGGCCGGCGCTGCGCGGGCTCCCGCGGTCGCTGCCCTGCCCGCAGCTACCGTGCTCTTAAGTCGCCCGCCTCTGTTCTGGGGCCAGAAGGAGAGGGGTATTTTTCTCCGAAAGCCTGTCCCTATGGGTGTAGGTGTCTTTCCCTCACACGTCGTGTGAATGCTGAGTGAAGAGAGGCGGTTGGTTTCCTAATTTCCTTCCTCCCAGAGCACCACTCCTCTCGTCCTGATAACTTCATCTGTTTGCATCTTGGGCTGTTCCTTTCTTTCATTTGTGAGTTAGCAATTGCAGGAAAATGAGCTATATAGGCCTCTGCACTGAGGCTGTTTATCAAGAATCAGGTAGGAGGTGAAATCGAGGAAGACTTTGTATCCCTAATTTCCCTTCTCTTCAGGATTAGGGTAAAAATAAGTGTAGAATCCTCTTATATGGTTTGTGTCTACTGTTTTAAAATAAGTCCCCCTTTCAAGATGTGATGACCTAACCTCTGAGCATTATGCACCGAGATCTTAAAAGAAAGATATTTGTTATTTTTAAATTTAGGTCCAAATTTAGGTTCTTTTCCTATTATTGTGCTTTTGTAAGGCTTTGATTACAGTAGTCTGAAGCCTGAATACACTCAAAAGAGCTATTAACACTGTGGTAACATTTTTTTAGTGCAGCGTTCTTCCACAGGTAAAGGTCCTACTGCGTTGAACTTAATCTCTTTTGATGTTAATGGTATTGTGCACACATATGTATGCCTAGAAGGATTGCTGATTGACATAAAGGGAGTTGTTGTGAGGGTTTATCAGCTTAATGATTATGATTTCCACCTCATTGCCAAAGAACAAGTAATAGCCAGCTAAAGTAAACTTAGGTTAAGGTGCTTTGATACCAGTAATAACTAGCAAGCAGTTGAATCGCTGTGTTTTTTACTTCTTGTAAAGCTCTCCAAGACCTGTTTTAATTAAAATTATATATTCTATATTTTTTTTATAGCACATGTATTGGTTTTCTTAGCTTTACAACCTCCTGGTCTGTCTGCTGTCATGGGTGGCTCCAGTGTATTAGAGGAATGCAATGATCACAGTTCTGCGGAACTTAGCCTTCAGTAAATTCTCATAAAATTGTGTGTCCAGTCCTGCAGAGGTTGAAATGAGAAAATGCTTCATTGAGAGACTATATAAAAGAAAAGCTGTGTCCTTGAGCATCACATTTTGTACAGCAGAAAAATTGAGTCCCTAAGCTACGGAGCCAACCAGTTACAGAACAGAAGCAGTTTCGTGGCACGCTGGGTTACATAGCAATGGCCCTGGAAGGGTGTTCAGCAGAAGCACTCTGCTTCAGCTGCTGCTCCTCTCCCTTACAAGTTTCCATTTCTGCTGGCCATGCTGCTTTCTGTCTGCTGTTGACTTCTTGGAAGTTGAGCTGCTTTCTCTTGCCTAAGTTGCAACATTTTGCTGAGTTTCATTACCTTTGGGCTTAGAAAATGACCTTCCCTTCAGTGTTTTCCAAGGTTATGAATCTCAGAAATTTATATCAACAGTTTGTACCTGTGGCAGATGAGCTTGCATTGTAAAAATATAATTTAAATGGCCTAGACAAGACTTTCAAAAATATGCATATTCTCTCTGCACATTTGTTGATAGTGGAGAAGAGGGAGAGTTCCAACTTCTTAATATCCAAGTCTGTGTGGAATAAGCTTCCAGGCTTCATTCATCTGGAAACAGACCTTTTGTTCCACTTCTACTTGGATAATTTTCCAGCAACTGCAGTCAATTTATAATTTGTTTTCAGATTCAAGGAGCAACAAAGGTAACATTCTGAAGCTAGTTTAGCTTCCTGATGTCTTAATGGGGTTTCAGTGACAACACCGAAAAGCTCTCTTTTAGAGAAGGTAACCTGAAGAATAGTTGTATTACTTCTAGTAGCCAAAATTATCTGAATCAGTTTGTGAGTGTGGATATAGGCAGAATATTAATTTTTCATGGGACTAGCTCCCAAGTCATGCCTTTAAAGATGAAGAATGTGGGTCATAGGTGGAGAATAGTAGAGTAGTCTGGGAAGTACAGACAGGTAAAGAAGGTATTGTGGGTTGTGATAAATAATTTGGATATATGTTCTCTTTAAGTCGATTTTCAAATAATTGTACTAGGTTTACAAGCAACATTTAAAAGATATGACAAGGTAAAAAAAAATTCAGTGGATGTGGGGTTCCTTTTTGAATTGGCATTTCCTTTTGGCATTAATCTGGGAAGCGTGTTTTAGTACAGAATATTGATCTGTTTTAGGATTAAAAAGGGAGGGAACAAATTAAAATGATGGTAGGTATACCTGTTACATGGATGAGAGCTATGAAAGTATTTGTTGGCAGAGAAATGATCTAAATGGTTTACATTTTTAATAGTTGTGTCTGTAATGTGTAGCTTGACTCTTTTGAAAGAGGAAGCTTTCTACATTTTAGTTTGCTCTGTGTAAGTTTCAGTAGGTTAAAAGTGATTTTACTAAAAATTGTGGTGTATAGCAAACATTTTTGCTGCTACGTATTTCTAAAGCAAGGTTGAATGCTTTCCTGAGGAAGGTGTACTAAGTCAAACAGGTTTCATTCTGGAATTGGTCTTAAGTAGGGAGGAGTGAGAAGAGGGAAGGTGGTCTGTCTTCCTCATTGCAAGCAAAATTAAATCAAGGAAAAGCAGTGTTGGAAAACTGTTCATTGTGTACTCACACAATGGGTGGACACAAGAAAGAGGATGGGAGCAAGAAAAGGGGATGTGGAAGCATCTGGTTGTAGTCTGAGCTATATAAGAAGTCAAACTGCATTGTAAGGGGTTATTTCTGGCCTTCTATTTTGGAAGCAAGGACTACTTTAAACTTTAAGGGTGTCAGACTTTAAAATAAGTTGCCACACTTCTATTTTTTTAAGAGATGAAAATCAAAGTGCAAGTTTAATGACTGGGTGTGGTGTTTCTTTCTCTTCCTATTTGTCAGGGTGCTCACATTTTTAATCATTTAAGCGCTGTTTATCATTTTAGCACTGTTCAATTTCACTTCTCTGGTTTTCTAATTTATTTGGTGGGTTGATTTTTTGGTGTAATATGATGCTGAATGATTCCCTTACAGGCAAGGAAGATATTGTGCTGTTATCCAGTTGTCATAGTTGATTTCACTGTGCAAATCTTCAAGATTCCTACTGGAGTGAAAGGTAATTTGTGGTTTATTTTTTTAGATCAGAAGATTTATTGTATGAATTTACTAAATAGGCAAAATTTTGTGTTCTGTTTCAAATTTTCATTTATTTTGGCTGTTGATGTGATAAATCTACATGGCTTAAGTTGTCGGTTTTGTAATATTATATAAAAAGGAATGTCTTGATGATACAGTAAATATTTGACTTGTACTTACGAATTTTGTGGTTAGACTCTTTTGTGAAGGTAATTTTACCAGTAACTTATTTCTTCCATAGACTTCCAAGACCTTGTCTTTGAGAACTTTGTAAAGATTTACAGACTAAGTGAAGGCCATATTGACAGAATATTGATTAATTACTATTGGGTGATCCAAAAATAGCTGTTCTGTTTGTCTAGTGAAATGAGTAAAGTATGTTCCATGTATAGTATAAAATTATAGACTTATGTGTACTGCAGGTGGGACAGCTTAGCAAGAATGCAGGTTTATTTATTTTAACAGACTTGGATGGGAAGAAAGGTTTTTTCACTTGCAGTAGCACCTGATGTCTTAGGGGCACTACACAAACACTGCATTACAACAACTCTGTGGTGCTGTAGAGGAGAAAGTCAGGTGCCAACCCTTTGCTGTGCACATCACAGGTGCCTTTGGTAGCGTAATGTTTAATGACTGCTCTAAAGGATGGGATGCTTTCAAAACCTGACTTCAGTGAAGATGGCCTCTTGTGTAAAAACTGTCTCTGCAGATTCTCAGAAGCAGGTAGTAGTATTTTGCTTATGTGTTTCTTTGATTGGATGTTTTTTCTGAAGGAGATAAGGTACTACTTCTACTGTTTATCTCCGTAGTGCTTTTATTAATAGTAGCATGGTTCTTCAGAGAGTTCTTGTGAAGAAGAATTGCAGGAAAAGCCTCTCTTAAAACTGGTGACTTTTATCAGTGTCTGGGGGGTTAACTGGGTGTTTTACTTGATACTGTATCTACCATGGGTCTCATATTTGTCAGTATCTTGGTTTTTCTTGTGTTCTTTCTGAGGGGTGTGATAAAGCCTCTCTTTTAGCTTACCTTGCTATTACTGAGTCATGCAGCCTGTGTGCTCTGTAAGGTCATTGTTAGAAGATCTTGCCATTGAGTAGTAAAATGGGGTTAGCTAAGGACAGTTTAAAAGAGAACTGTGGATTGCCGTGGTCCTCTAGGCTTGAATCTTCCCTTTTACTTCTAACATTGTCTATGTGATTTTCTATTTGCAAAGCAGTAGTTCTGGAAAACTGTTTTGTAGGAAAAGATGTTCAGTAACCAGAAAATAAAAATAGACTAAAAAAAAAATTAAAAAAAATTCTAAAAAAAAGCATGGACTCTGAAAGATCAGTGTCATCTTCAATTGCTTGTGCTGATGACAAAGCAGAGTTTAACCAAATATTTATTGTTGAAGTTACTCTCTAATTAGTAGTGCTGTACAGCTAAATGTAACACTGGATTTTACTGTAATTTGCTGCTATCCCATTTCTGTGGGTAGAGAAGTATAGACTATAACTGTGGTATTCTTTATAGTGGCCTGGATAAGAATTTGACTACAATGTTTTAAGAACATAAAATGTTATTAAGAGCATGAAAAGCTTCAGTATGTATTTAAAATGCTTGATGTGCTCTCTTACCATGATGAAAAAGTAGTACAGCTTTTTCTAATTTAAAATACTCAGTTATGCTGTATATGGGATTTAAAAGATGTATTCTTAACTCAAGTTTTTGAATTCATACTAGGCAGACCTTTGAATTCTAACTGATTCAGCATGTATGCTCCTACTTCTGAAAATCAAACCAGAATTAAAATCTGGTGATAAAAATATGCTTGCAAGTGTTTCACATTTGTTGAAACACTTTTATTGCTTCCACTTACTCAGAAAAGCAGGGATTCATCAATTAAAATTTGCCATAATATATTAAGTATGTACTGCAAACTTCTTTGAACACTTCCGTTTTGGATCTGAAAGTTTCACTTTCCAAATACAGCGTTTTGTTCTTTGTAGACATTATTTGTAAACAATCTATTTGCTGTTTCCTTAGCTGAAAGAAGCAGTTTTATCCCATTTAGCTTCTCGTTTTGAAGTTGTACTTAAAAGCTGTGTTTAAATAATACTGTAACTGCTGCTGTTTCATCATCAAGGAATTAAAGAAATATGTCCTGTATATCATTAGTCTGCTCTTAGCAGACTGAATCCTTTTTCTTGTATGGCTTTTTGGATACTTTTCCTGGTAGAGTATTTAATTATTTGACCACAAGTCTGAAATAAATCCAGTGTCTGGGAGGGAAGGAGGTGGAGGGACGGAGGGCAGGCAGAGTGGGGAACCCACAACCAGAACCAAAGAATGCTGTAGCATTAAATTAATTCTTGAGTCCATGGCTGCCTTGTCTCTTCTATAAGACAACATTTGTCAAAGATCATGGTGTATTATGGTTAGAGGCAGCTGTGTGTATCAAGGCTGGGATTGCTACATATCAATGTTACTGCTTCTTCTTTACAAGCCTCAGTTGTAAGTGACTTTAGTATTAAATCTGTTTTGGACCTCCAGTTATCTCATTAGTTAACTTAAGCTGTTGGGTATTTGGCCTCACTCTCCCAGTGTGCTTTCTTGACTGTGTGTGTGCTTGAGGATATATTACAGAGAGCAATTAATGTATCATGAAATTTGTGCACTTAGAGATTTATTTTTTGTTTCCCACCCTTCCCTGCCACCTTGCAGTATAATGACTTAGTGTTGAGACTGAATAGTTGAAGGTTTTTAGGGGAAAAGTTTACACTATTACCAGCACGTTTTTCTTGTACTGTGGAAGAAATTAAACTATGTAAAAGTGAAGTTAAGGAATACTACCACCCTGTGTTGTAGGTGAGAAAATTCTTTGAGGAAAGGTGCCTTCTCCATAGAAACACTCTGTAAAATGAGCTCTGTTGCAAGAGAATTGTTTAAAAACTTAATCCAAATCAAAAAAGAAATTGTGCTACAGAACACTGTTACAAATGACAGTGCTCCAACTTGGAGAGAGTGGCAGGGTAACATGGTCAAACTAGTTTTAAGAAGCCACACATATTGCTGCCCCCTTCATATTCCCTCATATGTCCACTAGTTTTAGCAAATTTAGTAAAAGGTACATGACCCTACATTCTACTTTTGTCCTTAGACCATTACAAGATAAGGAATCAAAACAGTATTTGCAGTCATAACTAGAGACCAGGTATTACATGTGAGGCAGCTACCACTTAAGGAAGAATTTTTAAAATTTTAGCCCTGATATGAAAGGTTGACTCTAGAAAATGCTTTAATTGTCTCTCGTGTATTCTGGACTTCTGTTCCTTTTGTTTCAAAAAGCGTAATGAAATTCTATAAAAACACCCACACATTAGCTGAAGTATATTTTGCCTGAGCTGATTTGTTTGAAAAGCTAAGAAATCCAGCTCTTTGTCTTGAGGCATCATGAGATTTGATATATTGGGCTAAGAATTGAGGCTTTTATTTACTGCTTGCAATTGGATTTTTAAAGGCTAGTGTGAGAAAGGCAAAATATGCTCCCAGTATATTGGGAACAAGTTTGCTTCAATTATTTTTTTACCTTCATTAAAAAATGCAGCTTCTTTGTGTTTTTCAGACCTTCTGCTCAGTTTCCCTGATTTTTAATTTAAAAAAAAAATTCTTAAGTTGTATTCCAAGGCAACACATAATATGAAACTGGTTGACTTAGCATAAAATTTCCCAGTGGTGGTACATTATGTATTGGGTAAAGGGCAAGACATGTGCTGTATGTAGCATGTTCACACTTCAGAATGGGACCAGATGAAAACAGTTTTTATTAGTTGAACTGTTTAGCCCTTGTCATGAGCCTAAATTTTCTGTTTTGAAACATCTTGTCTCTATAACTGTTGAATGATGTGGGAAGATTAATTTGCCTGGTGGATTTACTTGAAATAAAAGAGAGATGAAAAGGCTGGTATGTTGCTGTCCACATGTTAAGCCTATTGAAGTCAAAATCAACCTGTTTCGTTCTTTTACTGCTGTATGATTTTTGCTTGCTCATAAAGGATACTTACGAAAAATAAATCTATGGATCCTTCCTGTTCAAAAGCTCATGAGCGTGTTCTTGTTTTACTCATATTTAAAACATGTTTTACTAATATTTAAAATGTTTTCATAAAACATAAGTCAGTTTTTCTTTAATGGCTTTGGTTAAATGTTTTAAGACTTGAAGTAGTTATGCTGCAGAGATTTTTCTGCAAGTGTTGTTTTTAAAATTCTGAGTGGCTTTTCATGTTATATTATTCCCAAGGTTAACAACAGTACATGACTCTTGCTAGGAGGCTCAGTATGTAAGCAGTTAAACTAACAGCTTAAGACACAACAAGTGATTTTATATTCTGTGACTATTTTTAGATCCTTGGTGTTATACCAAGAAGGTGAAAGCATAAGCACTTATTTTGGGAAAAATGTGGTTTTTCTCTGCTGGTTCATTTTGGGTGTTTGATGATGTTTTGGGTGTTTTGTTTGTTTGTTGCTTTTATTTTTTTTCTAACCTTCCTCCATGCTGTCAAATGCTTTGTTTCAGGTATCTCGGGCAGTATGTTTGTATTTGTGCCCTGGTAAGTTGATCATGAAGGAAGCAAATTAAAGGAAATCAATGTTAATATTATCGGAGATCCTATTTAATGTAACTTTATTAATTGCTTAAAAGTGGTTTCTGTAGCTTGCCAAATCTTGCTTGTTCATTAATCATACTCCTGTTTTTCAGTATTAAATGGAATAAAGATGATCCCTCTGTTTTTAAGAAACAGAGTTGGTTTGTGTGGAGTTTTTTTTGGGGGGTATGGAATTTTTGATTTCTTTCAGAGAAGAGCAGCTTCTGCTGAGTGGTTTCAGATTATGCCTCCCACCAGTTTGTTGTAACCAGTCATTTATCTCCTGTTATCTCTATTGGCAGTATATGTGGTTGTGGGCAGACTGTGGTACAGCACTGAGGCATCCTAAAGAAGG